CGATACAGCCACTGAATGCTCATCAACTCCAGGGGGAATTGGTGTGTTTGTAACAGCGAACAGAATTGGGGTTTTTATGTTTTGCTGAAGCTAGAAGGTTTGGAATACTCTCAGATGTGGGCATCCTTGGGCTAGGACCCACCTCCCCCTACCTCTTGCTGAGCAGAACCTCAGTTTCCCCCTTTGTTTCCTGGTGGGCTTGGGTGATATTCCCTTGCCAACTCTAAATCGCTTACCAGTATATTAATTTCTAGTAATTTTTTTTCCTCTTTCTCATTAAATTAAATCATTTTAATGTTCAAGAGGGACTTTTACATCCTCTGGGGGTCCTGAAGTTTTCATTCATTGGAGCTGAGGACACCTTTGCAAAGGTGAAGTAAGCTATGGCTCCATGTACCTAGAAGCTGCACTCCTGTATACAATGATGGCCTGTTCAAGGGTCCCTGGAGCACTGTCTGGTCGTTAAATGAGAACTTCCAGTCTAGTCCCTTTCTCCCCCTCTCTTCCCGTTTTTGCAGGTGAGGCCCTGAGGCCCTGAGAAGTGGACACTTGCCTGGGGTTGTTTCCTGTTTAGCCTTATTCTCCAGCCTGGCCCCCTTGCTTGACCTCTATTCCCTGAGTCCTGAACCAACCCCTCACATAGTGTCTGGAAGGTAGAGGCCATTGGCTCTGGCTTGCCAGTGTGGAACAGGATTGTGTAGAGTTGAGAACTCAGACCCCGTCTCCTAAACACATACACATACTCTAGCATTTCTCAAACTAGTGTACCTCCCAGTCTTTGGGAGACATACACATACTCTAGCATTTCTCAAACCCCAATTATGCACTCTCCCAGTCTTTGGGAGGACTTGTTAAGAACACAGATTGCTGGGCATACTCTAGCATTTCTCAAACTAGTGTACCTCCCAGTCTTTGGGAGGACTTGTTAAAACACAGATTGCTGGGCCCTACCCCAGAGTTTCTGATTCTGTAGATCTGGGGTGGGGCCTGAGAATTTGCATTCTTTTTGTTTTGTTTTGTTTTTAAAGATAGAGTCTCTCTCTTTCGCCCAGGCTGGAGTGCAGTGGTGCACTCTCGGCTCACTGCAATCTCTGCCTCCTGGCTTCAAGTGATTCTCCCACTTCAGCCTCCCCAGTAGTTGGGACTACAGGCATGCACCACGACACCTGGCTGATTTTTGTATTTTTAGTAGACAGGGTTTCACCATCTTGGCCAGTCTGATCTCGAACTCCTGACCTCAAGCGATCTGCTTGCCTGAGCCTCCTAAGGTGCTGGCATTACAGGCGTGAGCCACACCGCCTGACCAATTTTATTTATTTTCCTAACGTCATCCAGGCACATGATAAATACAGTACACAAGGGTATAGAGTGAAAAATCATCCTTCCCTGGACTCCTTGCTGGCAGTCGTCCCAAGGCAACTAGTAGTACCCAAGTCGAGCTTTGTTGTAGTTTTGTGTTCATCCAGGAATATTCTAGGTTTGTGCAAACATTGATGTGTATATTAAATCTTTTTTGGGGAGGAATATTGGTCCATTAATGGTGCTAGATACACTTTATTTATTATTTATTTTTTTGAGACGGGGTCTTGCTCTGTCGCCCAGACTTGAGTGCAGTTGTGCAATCTCGGCTCACTGAAACCTCCGCCTCCTGGGCTCAGTCGATTCTCCTACCTCAGCCTCCCAAGTAACTGGGACTACAGGCAAGTGCCACCACACTCAGCTAGTTTTTTGTATTTTTAATAGAGATGGGGTGTCACCATGTTGGCCAGTCTGGTCTCGAACTCCTGACCTCAGGTGATTCACTTGCCTCAGCCTTCCAAAGTGCTGGGATTACAGGTGTGAGTCACTGCCCCCAGCCTAATTTTTATATTTTTTGTAGATACAGGGTTTCACCATGTTGCTCAGGTGTTTTTTAATCTTTTAAAATAAGTTTTACATTTTTTTAATTAAAAATTTTTTTTTTCAGAGACAGTGTCTCTCTTTTTCACCCAGGCTGGAGTACTCTGACATGATCATAGTTCACAATACCCTCGAACTCCTGGGCTCAAGCAGTCCTTCCTCCTCGGCCTCCCAAAGTGCTGGGATTACAGGTGTGAGCGCCGTGTCCGACCATGTAACTGTAATCTATTCTTAGAGCAGTCCTCTGTTTGCAGACGTTTGTTTCAAGTGCTTTGGGTACAGCCCACAGTGCTGCAGTGCAGTCATCTTGCCTTTGCTCCTTTTCTACTATTTTGTAGAAGGTGTTTCTAGAGGAGATTGTTGGGTCAAAGGCCAAGTGGAGAAAAAGTTTTCAGGAACAGTGGTGGAAGTCGGGTGAGGACCCATGTGGGAGGGAGAGGAGGTTTCTCTGGGGGAATGTGCTCACCCTGGGCTGCACTTCTCTCTCTCTCTCTTTTTTTTTTTTGAGATGGAGATTTGCTCTGACGCCCAGACTGGAGTGCAGCGACGTGCTCTTGGCTCACAGCAACCTCTGACTCCAGGGTTCAAGTGATTATCCTGCCCTGGCCTCCCAAGTAGCTGGGATTATGGGCATGCGCTACCACGCCTTGCTAATTTTTGTATTTTCAATACAAAAGTACGGGGTTTCACCATGTTGGCTAGGCTGACCTCTGTGTCTCTTTTTGTGAGTTTTCCCACTAACTAGCTGCTGTGTGCCTTTGGTCCAGTGCTTTGGGCTCTCTGGGCCTCCCTTTTGATGTCTATGGTTTGATCTCTGGACTCTCGGGTCTGTTCACCCTCAAGGTACCTGTTGTTAGCATTTAATTTCTACTCATGACTGGGTCTCCGCACAGCACCCTGAATATTTGTTCAGGATTGTCCAGAAGCTTTCACGGTGAGGCTGGAGAGTTCCATCCCGTGGATTGGGTTTTGGGAAACAGTTCGTTGTCTTCCTTTGTGAATCTGCTGGAAGATGCTTTGCCTTTTCACCAAAATCAACCACTAGGAGGCCTTGCATGAACCACATTGGATGCTGTCAGTCTGCCGTCCACGACTCTCCTGCAGGCAGGGAGACAGATCCACCGTGCAGCCTACATGCTGAGTGGTAAAACTGGGGCAGGAGCATCTTTGGTAATTGACATCTTTCCGGATTTCACATCCCATCCCACCCCATCCTCCTGTGGTCTTGGCACAGCTCATCCCTCTTGTGGTATTCGTAGCTTTCGTTCCTCAGGATGTCAGTTGCACCAGGCTGTGTCATTATGTCGTCCCTAAGTTACCAAGACCACCATGCGGCATGGAGTGGATTCAAGTCCTTGGAGGTGAAGATTGAGCGGATGGTAGTAGAAGTGTACGTGTGTGTTTTTTTTTTTTATTATCATTTTTGAGACAGAGTCTCACTTTTGTCGCCCAGGCTTGAGTTGCAATGGCATGATCTCAGCTCATTGTAACCTCTGCCTCCCAAGTTCAAGCGATTCTCCTGCCTCAATCTCCCAAGTAGCTGGGATTACATGCGTTTGCCACCACACCCAGCTAATTTTTTTTGTATTTTTAGTAGAGATGGGGTTTTATCCTGTTGGCCAGGCTGGTCTTGATCTCGTGACCTCCCGCCATTGTTCGTGAAAACTTTTTCTCCACTTGTCCTTTGATCCAACAGTCTCCTCTAGAAACACTTTCTACAAATACAGTGGAAAAGGAGCAAAGGCAAGATGACTGCACTGTGGGCTGTACCCAAAGCACTTGAAACAAACATCTGCAAACAGAGGACCGGTTTTACCATGTTGACCCAGCTGGTCTTGATCTCGTTACCATGGTTTTACCATCTTGGCCAGGCTGGTCTTGATCTTGTGACCTCAGATGATCCGCCTGCCTCAGCCTCCAAAGGTGCTGGGGTTTACAGGTGTGAGCCACTGTGCTTGCCTGAAGTGTACGTGTGTTTAAATGAAATGCTGAAAGATGAAAACAAGGGGTGCGTGAACAAGAGTGGGGCTGGCATTTTCCAGGTGAGAATCCACAAGGATGTAATTTGTGTTGATCTTTTTGGAGGAGGGTCTCAAACACAAGGCCCAGTGGCGGTGGGGCCACGGAAACCTCCCAGTGGGTGGGGTGTGTTCTTTTCACACAGTTACAGTACATAGCCTATTAAACACGAATAAATGATGTTGTTTTCCACAAAGGAGAATGTGTGCCTTCATTTCCTTGAAGTATGTAGCCTTCCTGATCTATCTTCTTTGGTTTCCTGTTTTTGCAATCAGGCGTGGGCATGGAGAAGTCATGTTTATCTGGGGTAAGAACAACACTGGTGCCTATGTGACTCTTGGCAGGTTGGCCTCGGTCTCATCAGCAGGGACATAGTGGGGAAGAGTGGCGATTGCGCATGTTTCCATCTAAAAGTGGGGTACTCAGCTCTATCTGGTGCTTTGGGGGCCTGCAGGTCCTAATTTGTTTTTTTTTTTTTTTTTTTTTTTTGAGTCAGAGGCTTGCCCTGTTGCCCAGGCTGGAGTGCAGTGGTGTAATCTCGGCTCACTGAAACCTCAGCCTCCCGGGTTCAAGCAGTTCTCCTGCCTCAGCCTCCCGAGTAGCTGGGATTAAAGGCATGTGCCACCACACCCGGCTAATTTTTGTACTCTTGGTAGAGATGGGGTTTCACCATGTTTGGCCAGGCTGGTCTTGAACTCTTGACCTTGTGATCTGCCCACTTTGGCCTCCCAAAGTGCTGTGATTACAGGCGTGAGCCACTGTGCCCAGCCCTCCTAATCTGTTTTTTTAAGAAAAGCGAAAAATCTAGGTTATTACACAAAGTTTCCTGATTTTTGCATCTTGGCAACAAATTAAGATTTTTACAAAAATGTTATATAGGTCGAAGAAATACTTGTCTGACTGTTGAGGCAGACAGCCAAGAAGGGGGCATGTATATTCTGGGAGGAGGAACACTGAAGTGGCTTCGGGAGTTGGGGGACAGAATGCACTCTGTTCCCACACTCTGTTCCTCCACACCTCCTCCCTGTGGGGCCCAGGCCTCCCTGACTGCTTTAAAACGTGTGGTCCTGTGTCTCTTTCAGATCCTGGCTCTGCAGAGAGAACAGCCCAGAAAAGAAAGTTCCCCAGCCCTCCACATTCTTCCAATGGCCACTCGCCGCAGGACACATCAACAAGCCCCATTAAAAAGAAAAAGAAACCTGGCTTACTGAACAGTAACAATAAGGAGCAGGTAAAGCAGTTGCCTGGAACAGAGTCCTCACTGCCGGGACAGAGGCCAGCCAGTAGCGCTGAACCTCTCTGGGTCCTTGTAAACGCCAGCTTTCTTGGCATTGAGCTAGCTGCCTTGCACTGGCTGTCATTTGCCTTGGATAAAAAAAGGTGGCTCAAAATGGGCCTGTGTAGAAATTTCCAGTGGGTTTTCAGATCTGTTTCGGGGACGGAGCAGGGACCCAGATGAGATGAGGGTATATAATTCTTTAGGGTTTGAGGCATTTCCTTGTATTAGGTATTTTTTTTTTCATGCTTTTAGGACTGTTTTTCCCATGTGGCCTGAGGAGTTTTCCCCTCCTGGGCCATGTCCATAGGACTAGTTCTCAGCTCTATCTGGAAGTGGTTGCTTGGCTGAGGCAAGTTCCCTTCTGGCCTCAGTTTTCTCATCTGTAAAATGAAGGGTTTAGAGGCCGGGCGTGGTGACTCATGCCTGTAACCCCAGCACTTTGGGAGGCTGAGGTGGGTGGATCACGAGGTCAAGAGATGGAGACCATCCTAGCCAACATGGTGAAACCCCGTCTGTACTAAACATAGAAAAAAATTAGCTGGGTGTGGTTGCACGCGCCTGTAGTCCCAGCTACTCAGGAGGCTGAGGCAGGAGAATCGCTTGAACCTGGGAGACGGAGGTTGCAGTGAGCCAAGATCGCACTACTGCACCCCAGCTGCCTACCAAAGTGCAGGGATTACAGGCGTGAGCCACCGGCGCCCGGCCTCAGGTCTCTGTTAAGAGGCATTGCCAGGGGCAGACTTAGGTAATTGGTCACAGTTCCTTTTCATGGAAGCACAGGGATTCTTTCCAGAACCCACCCTCCCTTGGCAGCTAGCACCAGTCAGCTAGATAGGAAAAATCCGTTCACTGTTTGAATCTTTTCTAAGGGACCTTCTGGCTTTAGAATTCTCTGGGGCAGGCTAGATACTCTTCCGATTACAAAAATGGAGAGGCGTTTTAGTGGACTTACTGGTGGATTGTATCTATCCCCCTGGACTATGAAGTCAGATCTCATAGCACTGAAGGAAACAGTGTCCCATTGGTTCTGATGCCACTTGTTCTTCAGCAGTGATTCCTAGGGATGCATTCAACCATTTTGTGCATTGAGTAGAGGAGTGGGCTCTGGGGATGGAAAGTTGAATTAAACAAGATTGTTGCTTCCATGGAAGGAGACGTAGCAACGGTTAAATACCCAGGCCTGTGAGAGGTGTGTGTTTCTGAGCATGAATCTATTTTCACTCTCAAAATTACATAGTGAAATGCCAGCCCTGCTTTTGCTGTGTGGCTGTGGGCAAGTTAACCTCTTTTGTGCCTAGTTTTCTCATCTACTGAAATGGGGATAATGGTACTACTACCATGAATTTCACAGGGTTGTGAACATTGAGCTAAATGCCATAAATAGCAATATTAAAAATGAAACATAAAATCAGTTTCTCTGCTAAGTAGAATAATCATACAATCTATATATGAAATAGACAATTCCTGTAAAAATGCTCATGTCCGGCTGGGCGCGGTGGCTCATGCCTGTAATCCCAGCACTTTGGGAGGCTAAGGCGAATGGATCGCCTGAGGTCAGGAGTTCGAGACCAGTCTGGCCAATGTGGCAAGAACCCTGTCCCTACTAAAAATACAAAAAATTAGCCAGGCGTGGTAGCGTGCACCTGTAAATTGCTTGAACCTGGGAGGTGGAGCTTGCAGTGAGCTGAGATGGCGCCGCTGCACTCCAGCCTGGGCGACAGAGCGAGACTCCATCTCAAACAAACAAAAAAAACCTCACGTCCAAGATGGTAGCCACAGGTCACATGTGGCTCTTCAGTACTTGAAAATGGCAAGTGACTGAGGAACTGAGTTTTTCAATTTTTTTTTTTTTTTTTTGGGATGGGGTCTTGTTCTGTCACCCAGGCTGGAGTGCAGTGGTATGATCTTGGCTCACTGCAACCTCCACCTCCCAGGTTCAAGCAATTCTCCTCCCTTAACCTCCTGAATAGCTGGGATTATAGACATCTGCCACTGCACCCAGTTAAAGTTTTTATTTTTAGTAGAGATGATCTTGGCCAGGCTGCTCTCAAACTCCTGACCTTGTGATCCACCTGCCTTAGCCTCCCAAAGTGATGGAATTACAGGCTTGAGCCACCGCGCCTGACCTTATTTTTTTGTTTGAGACGGAGTTTCACTCTTGTTGCTGAGGTTGGAGTGCAATGGCGCGATCTTGGCTTTCTGCGACCTCTGCCTCCCAAGTTCAAGTGATTCTTGTGTCTCAGCCTCCGCGTAGCTGGGATTACAGGCGCCTGCCACCATGCCCAGCTGATTTTTGTATTTTCAGTAGAGATGGGGTTTCACCATGCTGGCCAGGCTGGTCTTGAATTCCTGACCTTAGGCGTAAGCCACTGTGCCTGGCCTACCCTCTTTTAAGAGATGGGGTCTTGCTGTATTGCTCAAGTTGGACACTCAAGTTATCCTCCTGCTGCAGCCTCCTGAGTACCTGGGCTCTCTGGGGTTCCTTTATTTATTTGTTTATTTTTTGAGATGGAGTTTCTCTCTCATTGCCCAGGCTGGAGTACAATGGTGCAATCTCAGCTCACTGCAACCTGCGCCTCCTGGGTTCAAGCGATTCTCCTGCCTCAGCCTCCTGAGTAGCTGGGATTACAGGCATGCACCACCACACCTGGCTAATTTTTTTTTTTTTTTTTGTATGTTTAGTAGAGACGGGGTTTCGCCATGTTGGCCAGGCTGGTCTCGAACTCCTGACCCCAGGTGATCCACCCGCCTCGGCCTCCCAAAGTGCTGGGATTACAGGCGTGAGCTACTGTGCCTGACTAAGTTCCAGGGTCCCTTTTTATAAGGGCACTAATCCCATTCATGAGGGCAGGGCCCTGATCACCTCTCAAGGCCCCACTTCTCTAATGCCATCACCTTGGGGTTAGAATGTCAACATAGAAATTTGGGAGGCACACAAGCATTCAGACCATAGCACTCAGCAAAATCTAGCAACAGCTGGAGCTAAGTCAAGCCTGCCCTTTTAGACACAGGCCTGTGGTTGCTTGTTTGCCACACTCCCCACCCTTCCCTGTCGTCTCTGAATTTCTTTCCATGTCCACGTTCTTTTGACTTTGGCATATGTGAAGATTCTCTACTGTCTTCCTCTCTTTCTTCACTTTAGTTTTTCTTCTTCGTTCCATTGTTCTAGAAAGAAAGCCATTCGCACCTTATAAAGAGCAAATAGGCTGGGCGTGGTGGCTCAGGACTATAATCCCAGCTACTTGGGAGGCTAAGGCAGGAGAATCCCTTGAACCTGGAAGGCAGAGGTTGCAGTGAGCTGAGATTGTGTCACTACACTGCAGCCTGGGTGACAGAGTGAGACTCTGTCTCAAAAAAAAAGAAAAAAAAGGACAAATAATTCATATTCCATTTGGATAGAGATGTTTTATTACCATGTGGAAATATGGGATGAGTTTTAAGTTTGGTCCCTATTCCACCCATTTATCATATATTAGGAATTCATTTTAGGGAAGTTTATTTTTATTTTTTGAAACAGGTTCTCACTCTGCTGCCCAGGCTGGAGTGCAGTGACATGATCACGGCTCGCTGCAACCTCAACCTCCCCGGCTCTGCAGCCTCGACCTCCCCGGCTCAAGCAGTTCTCTTCCCTCAGCCTCCCAAGTAGCTGGGACTTTCAGCCCCTTTTGGCACACCGGGTTGGTTTTTTGATTTTGTTATAGAGATGGGGTCTCACTTTCTTGCCCAGGCTGGTCTCGAACTCCTGGGCTGAAGTGATTCTCCTGCTTCAACTTCCCAAAGTGTTGGGATTGCAGGCATGAACCACTGCACTGGGCCAGAAGTTTAAAGAAGAGCTTTAAAACAAATTTTATTTTCAGGGTTTAAAAGCATCCTAAGGTTTACCATGCATTTTCTGAAGACCTTTGGTCCAGTGTTTTTACCCTTTGGAGGGTTTGAGAATGTATGGGAAGATGCTCCCGGCGTTTTGTGGAGGAGGGTCAGGTTGCTAAATGGATGTCCTGTAGTATATGGGGCAAGAAATACCTTGCCCAAAATGACGTCAGGGTCTTTACAGATAAATACCACTCTGCTCTTTAGTTCTGACACATTTGAGTTCAAACGTCCTTTTGGGAGGTGTTTTGGTTTTTTTCCCTTGCATTAAAGGATTGAGAAATAACGTGCCAGCAGATTTGTACAGAATGGCCTTAGGTGTGTCTTTGATCAAATACAGCAAAGAAATGATGGGGCCCCTCTTCACCTTCTCTGAGTATAGGGTGTCTACATATCATGAATGAGTGGCTAGTACTTATTTTCTTGGGCCCCACACATTGTCCTAAAAACTAGGACATTTCACAGAAGTCTTTCTTTTCCTTCCTTCCTTCCTTCCTTCCTTCCTTCCTTCCTTCCTTCCTTCCTTCCTCCCTCCCTCCCTCCCTCCCTCCCTCCCTCCCTCCCTCCCTCCATCCCTCCCTCCCTCTCTTCCTTCCTTCCTTTTTTTTTTTTGACAAGGCTTTACAGGGCCAGGCTTGGTGGCTCATGCCTGTAATCCCAGCACTTTGGGAGGCTAAGGTGGGCGGATCACCTGAGGCCAGGAGTTCGAGACCAGCCTGAATAACATGGTGAAACCTTGTCTCTATTAAAAATACAAAAATTAGCCAAGTGTGGTGGTGCACACCTGTAATCCCGGCTGCTCGGGAGGCTGAGACACGAGAATCGCTTGAACCTCGGAGGTTGTAGTGAACCAATATCATACCACTGCACTCCAGCCTGGCTGACAGAGGGAGACTCTGTATCAGGGGAAAAAAAAAAAAAAAGAGACAGGGCTTTGCTCTATTGCCCAGGCTGCTGGAGTACAGTGGTGTCATTGTGGCTCACTGCAGCCTTGACCTCCTGGGCTCAAGCAGTCCTCCCACCTCTGCCTCCCAAGTAGCTGGGTCTACAGGTGTGCCCCACCATGCCTGGCTAATTTTTTT